GAGATTTCTTCTCTTTTTTTCATTCTGCTCACAAGCTGCATACAAAAAAAAGAACATAGCATATATACCCAACAAGGACCGGCTGCAGGTATCATCCTGGTATTGTTTTTTTCAGCAGGCGATCGGCTTTTATGTAAAAGAAATCCTAGTGGCTAAGTAGCTGCAGGATTTCTTTTACAAGCAACGAGAGAAGATGCCACCCCTCCCCTGCTGCTTTCCACAGCCTTCTCGGGCAGTCCCATGCCATCGGGGGAACCTGAGAATGTAGCCGGTGTTTCTGCCAGCTGACCATAAAGCTGATTGGAGAATTAAATGTAGCCAATTATCTCTATAGTATAAGAAACCGGAAGCTACAAGCATTTCATCACTTCAGTTTTGCAGGATATAAACAACGCCATTTGTAAATTGGGAAAGCATCTGAGCACACCGATCTTGGTGAGATTAGGTAATTTCTCAAAAAATCCCCAGATTTCTCAAAAAAGAATACTTGTCAATGCCCATTGCATTCCCAGGGGATATTTACATTCCCTGTGATAGTAATAAAAATGATAAAAAAAAATGAAAGGGACAGTGTCAAAATAACTAAAAAAAAAAAAAAAAAAAATCACTCTCGTGCACACGTGACCCCATGACGGTATGTAAACTTCCTCTGTAAATCTAAAATGGTAGCTTGTAAAGGCTTTTAAAGCATCACCTATGGATATTAAAAACGTATACAGTTTGTTCGCCATTGCACGGGGTGTGCACAGTTTTAAAGCATGTCATGCTTTGTATCTGTTTAGTCAGAATACATTAACTTTTATATTTTACCAAATAATTGGCCAATATAAAAATTTTTTTTTTGTGAAAAAAAAAGTGTATTTTTTTCAAAAAATTTATTGAAGACACATGCCATAGGTATATCTGGAATTACTCCCCAAACCCACATTTTGCTAGGGTTCTGCCTAGTAAAAAATACCACATGTTGGCAGTTAGGGTCAAAGTCCTCTGGAGGGCAAGTAGTAAATTTAGCATATGAACTAAAGCTTTATCAACATGGCTTGGTCTTCAAGTGGTTAGAAGAGTGAGTGATGCGTTTACAGATACACTTAATATGCACCTGCGATCCACTATTCACAATACAATCCTTTGCATGACCCCTTTTAAAAATTAAAACCCCACAACTGCTTTGCTAGAGGAATGTTGAGTGAAAGAAAATTACATTTGCTTTACTGTAGCTGCTGCCCTGCGGTGCTGAACATTTTTTTTTACACAAGCTGTATCACAGCAAATGAGGAGGGAGCAGCTGAGCAGGAAGTATTCAATGGACTGAAAAACAGGCAACACTGCACTGTGAGAACTGTAGTCCAGAGGAGTGAGACTCTATTGCAATCAATAGATGTTGAACTCCCAGAGAGAGAGAGAGACTGCCAGGAGGATGAGAAAGATGCTAATTTCCTCAGGTTATACAGGACCCATCTTCTTCTTGACACAAGGAAGCCCAGAGAGAGCAAATCGCCGTCAAGTGTGCACTACTACAGCTGCATATAGGCTGCCTAAATTGGATCCAGAGTGCTGAATTCAGCGGTGCTGAAGGCCAGAGTCACCTGGGTGCAAAGAAGACTAATTAATGTGTGTGGCAGGATTGGTGAGCTGCACTACCACTGGACTGGTGGACTGCTGCTGTGGGGATTTAGTATTTCCTGCTAGAGAGACTGAGCCCTTTAGGAACTGGTCATACAGTCATCCAGAAGCCTTATTGTTTTCTACAGGCTAGACTGGGACTATTCTCATGTGAACCAATGGTACAACTTGGCCCCAACATTAGCCAGCTAAAGAGTTAGGAATAAAAGAATGTCCCTTTACAGCTGCTACACAGAGAACTTCTCACCTATTGCTTTTGCTAAGAGGTAGATCTCAGGGGACATTGTACCATATCCTAACCATTCTGCTAGAGTGCACTCTAGACTAGATATACAGTAATAATATTATTCAGATTGCAGTTAATGCTTATATGCAGTGTTTATTGCTGTCTGTTTTTTCATGAATTATTCCCAGTCCAGTAGTACAGAACTCTGTATTGTGTCTTCTTAACCTTCCTTCTGTGCGTTGATTTATGCTCAGTCCAGCATTTATTCTAACCCATATCAATATATTGATTTCATATACCACTAAACGTCTATTTGCTGGTGCTTATTCACAGCCGAATTAAAGGTATCTATATTTTCTTCTTAACAGTGCTTGCAGTACCTTTCATTCAACTAGGTGTATTGGAGAGGCTGAGGTTGTTCTTGGAGTCAAGGCACAGAACAGGGAACCCAAATTACCAAGCAGCTCCAGCAGGGGCAGTAATCCATTTTTTTTTATTTTTAATAAAAGCCTTTTAAGTTCATCTGTGAGAATGGGGTAACCTTCCTTTTCAGATACAGTTACAAATCCTTTCAAGGTTTTGCACAGGTGTCTACACATTTCAGATCATTGCATTTCATTTCAGTTCATTGTATTATTTGAGAGAAAACAGCCACAATTATTGTACAGTGGTTGGACTATATTTAAGCGACTTGGTTAGGCTGCAATATGAGCTGGAGAGACAAAGTAGGTTTTACCTTGAAATAAACTTTAGAGTGTATTGTTTGAGAGACTATAACCACACATATTGCAAAGTGGCTGGACATACAAAAATCTTTCTATTAGAACAAATCAAATTGGTCTAAAAACTATCAAGTCACATTATTATGACAGAACACATAATGGATTAAAAAGTAGATACATTTTGCAATGTTCAAAAACTGTATAATATATAGAACAGGGGTAGACAACCATGGCTTGAAATTACAACTCTCATTCCAGATCATTGTATCATTTGAGAGAAAATAGCCACAACCATTGCTCACTGGCTGGATGCTATGTAAATAGCTTGGTTAGGCCGCAATATAGGAGGGAGAGAGACAAAGCAGGTTTTATCATTAAATATATTTTAGAGTGTATTATCTATAGCCAAAAATGTTGCACAGTGGCTGGACAGCAATGCAATCTTTTTAATTGAGCATAAACAAAGTGGTCTAAACACTGTAAAGTCACATTTTGATTAAAAAACAACAAATAATAGATGGATTGAAAATAGATAAATTATACAATGTTCCAAAAAAAGTATAGCCACTCAAAGACAGGAAGTTTGTTAGTTATGAGATTACGCAGTAAAAAAAAACCCCTGAAAAATTGAAACTAATGCCGCCACCTTATCTTAGGACTGGGAAGCTGGAGTATATTATGTCTTTGTTTCTGAGTTTAGATATGTTTTAGGAGGGATATTGATACAAAGGTTCCTACTGGTGAACCAGTGGCTATGAGTTTTCCTGGGGGACACCAATCATACCCTTTAGGGATAGCAGTGAAGGGATGCAAGTTTTGCCCTGCTGCCTTAGTACATGGTCCTTACATATTTCTGACTGCATATTTGGCAGTTTATGGGTTACCTTTCTTCTTAAAACATCCTTCTTCAGATCCTTGAATCCTTTCAAAAACTTTCATAGGCGTCCAAACAGTTCAGATCAATGTCTGAGTAAACAAATATAAATAATGAAATTCAAAGAACATATCTTTTGCCAAAGAACTGCTTGCACCTTGGTACAATGCTAAACTTGTATAAATATCTATCTGGTCATCATAACCCCTCACTGGAAATAGGTGACTACAAGACCGGACTTGCAACTCAGCTTTCTGTCTTCAAACCTGAATTGGGCTTTCATAACCATGAATACAATCTTCGTCTTTTTGATCTTGAGCAGTGTGGTGACTACAGGTAAGAAATTATTTTGACATCAAATTATTTTTTATTATTTATTTTGCACCAACATACTAAACAGAGTTTAATAGAGCATATAAATATATTCACATTAGTACTAATCCTTTACATAAAGCTTGAAATCAAAGTCCCCAACTTACATGCACCCTAAAAGTAAGTAAGCCACTTGCTTTTCTTATTTGCTCCCATAAGTGCACAAAAATACCTGTTGATCCTGCCAGAAATCCAGTGAGTTGATTACTTCCTGTACACGCTGCTGGTGTTACAATCCCAAGCAGGGTTATCAGTCCCGCCTAGTTTTTTGTGGACCACAGAAAACCCTCATCCCTATGTTATGGAGATCAGAAACTAAGAGCGGGCAGCCTAGGATGACAATTCTGCATCTTTATAGATACATTTTGGTTATTGAGTGTTTTATTGGCAGGGTCAACAGATAAATAGAAAGGGGAAATAACCTAATGCAGCCACCACATCTGCTAAGCTTTAATATATTAGGTTTTTTCTTTGGTGTAGATAAACTCAAGTGGCCATTATGTGATGCAATGGAAACTGTAAAACATTTAAACTCAGAGCTTCAAGGCAAGAGCTCACCCAGCATTTATGCTCTATAGTAGGCAGGAATTTATAGCAAACATATGTGTTACATTGACATGGGAATTTGATGTACAAAGGCAAGAGGAAAAAGGAAACATTTATTAAACTGCAACATGTATTCAGCTGAGCATTTTTTTTTTAATGCTTTTATTTGTACAAATGATATGCAATAAAAAGGATAGCACGATGTCAACTGAAGTACACATTGAATGTCAAAGCATCACATTGTACAGTAACATTAGGAGTGACCAGGGCCACAGAAAGGCTCAAAGGACAAAAAACATATTGTACCAGGGTAAACAGAACATGAGCCAAGACATGAACAAGTCGTATTGCAGTAGTTGAGAATCTTCCTGGGATGAGGAGGGTTATGGAAAACCTATCGTTGAGCATTTTAATTGTAATCCATCTACAAATGACATCTAATACACTAGAACCTTTCGGGTCTTATGGAACTCCTGCTTTATATATATATATATATATATATATATATATATATATACACACTCACACACTATATTGCCAAAAGTATTGGGACCCCTCCCCCCCCCCCCCAAATCATTGGATTCAGGTGTTCCAATCACCTCCATGGCCACAGCTGTATAAAATCAAGCCCCTAGGCATGCAAACTGCTTCTACAAGCATTTGTGAAAGAATGGGTCGCTCTCAGGAGCTCAGTGATTTCTAGCGTGGTACCATGATAGGTGGTCACCTGTGCAATATGTCCATCCATGAAATTTACCTGCTACTAAATATTCCACAGTCAACTGCTAGTGGTATTATAACAAAGTGGAAGCAACTGGGAGCAACAGCAACTCAGACACAAAGTGGTAGGCCACGTAAAATGACAGAGCGGGGTCAGCATATGCCGAAGCGCACAGTGCACAGAAGTCACCAATGTCTGCAGAGTCAATAGCTAGAGACCTCCAAACTTTATGTGGCCTTCAGATTAGCACAACAACAGTGCTTAGAGAGCTTTATGGAATGGGTTTCCATGGCCGAGCAGCTGTATCCAAGCTTTACATCACCCTAAGCTATTTTCTAAGAGGCATAGTGACTCTTTTGAAGTCTTCATTGTTTTGCAACAAAATTTTAGTAAATAAAGAATGAGAATGAAATTTACTTTTTTTTACTTAGAATTATACCCCCAACACATTCTGCTACTCCTCCTGAGTAAGATGATACCACAAGCATGAGACTTTTTCACAGCTTAACCAAGGCCAAAATTACAAGGAGCAGCTTCAGGCTTTCAAAGGGCATCAGTTGTGCATTTTGTGCATTTTTAGAGGCCCTGAGATATCATGACTGTAGAAACATCCCAAAAAATGACTTCATTTTGGAAAGTAACAATCTAAGATGTTTTAAGAGGAATGGTGAGAAGACTTATTTTTTGTGACAAGTTTTTGGAAAATGAAGAAAGAATGCACAGAGTTGTCTATTTAATAAGAAATCTTCCCACACAGAAAGGGCATACTTAGAATTGCATTCCAAAACACATTAAACACATTGAGTATGGCAATAACATATGTGTGAGACTTTTTAACTGTTTGGACTGATTATACCACAAATTGTATCTTGCATATCATAAAAATCAAACAAACTGTATCAAAAACTGTGTACTGTCATCTCTGAATGAGTGTTCAGGGAATATAGCTTAGTGCAGCATTACCTATAGCCTTCTCCATTCCTATATGCCAAGTAAGCCTATCCTACTGGTACCTGGCTGCCCCAGGAAAGCCACTAGCCAAGAAGTACATGAGGCTGAGAGAAAGAAAAACAGAAGAGTTCCTGAGGTTCCAGGTGCACAGTTGTTCACAGGGGATAGCTGGGACTGGTGTCTCACCGAAACATAACCAGTGGACATACAGATGGGTCAGTTCAGGTGGCAAGCAGAATTACGGTCAGCAAACAAGCAAAGGATCGGTCCAGGCAGCAGGCATAAGCAAGGTCAATAAACAGACAACCTGTACTGTTGTGGAAGTGATCAGGAACACTGTTGTTGGCTGTGCTGGTCTTGTGACACTGGAAAAGGTATGGCGGTGATCAGGAACACTGTTACTGGCTACACTGTTCTGGTGATGCTAGGACTGGTGTGTCAATGATAAGGAACATTTTTGCTGGCATACACTTGTCTAGCAATACTAGGACAGATGTGGCACAAATGAGTATCACTGTTGCTGGCTTATACTGGTTTGGTGAAACTGGGATTGTGCAGTGTCGATCAAGAACAATATTGTAGGCTTACACTGGTCTGGTGACACTGGGGCTGATGTGACTGTGATCAGGAACACTGTTGCAGGCTTACACTGGTCTGGTGACACTGGGGCTAATGTGGCAGTGATCAAGAACACTGTTGCAGGCTGGCACTGGTCTGGTTACACTGGGGCTGATGTGGCAGTGATCAGGAACACTGCTGCTGGCTTACGCTGGTCTGGTGACACTGGGACTGATGTGGCAGTGATCAGGAACACTGTTGCAGGCTGGCACTGGTCTGGTTACACTGGAGCTGATGTGGCAGTGATCAGGAACACTGTTGCTGGCTCACACTGGTCTGGTGACACTTGGGATGATGTGGCAGTGATCAGGAACACTGTTGCTGGCTCACACTGGTCTGGTGACACTGGGGCTGATGTGGCAGTGATCAGGAACACTGTTGCTGGCTCACACTGGTCTGCTGACATTTGGGATGATGTGGCAGTGATCAGGAACACTCTTGCTGGCTCACACTAGTTTGCTGACATTTAGGATGATGTTGCAGTGATCAGGAACACTGTTGCAGGCTGACACTGGTCTGGTGACACTGGGGCTGATGTGGCAGTGATCAGGAACACTGTTGCAGGCTTACACTGGTCTGGTGACACTGCACAGGTGTGGCAGTGATCAATAATGCTGTTGTTGGCTGTCACATTCCTGATCAAGGCCGAATTGTTGAGAGGGCTGCCCATAAACCCCTTGTCCTTTTTCCTCCCGGGGATGTTGATAGTGTATAACAGGGCACAGAATGGCACCAGTGTCTGTTGGAGATCTAATTCAAAATAACTTGGTCAGATGCAGAACTGAAGCAGGCCAGCTGGCAGCAGGCAGATACTGGATCTCGGCTGTGTAGTCAGACAGGCAGGGGTCAGCAACAGTAGAAGCAGGAGTGCAGAGTCAGATCCAGGCCAAGGTCAGTTCCAAGTGAGCAGAAGATGTACCGGAACAGCAGCAGGAAGCAAGGTCAGGTCACAAGCCAGAGTCAGCAGCAGTATTTCAGGATCAAGTAGGATCAGGATACAAGCTGGGTCAGGATATGGATGAACACAGGATCAGGTCACAAACAGAAGAATCTGATGTCCACTCAGCAATGAACCTGAGTCCTGTAAGGCTTTAAATAGACAATTGGGCATCAAAGTGCAATAAGCATGCTCACGAACTGTAACGCTTATATGCACGTTAATGCGTACGTGCTCATGTAGATGCACGCAGGGTCCTAATAAGCCATTCTGCACGCAAGAGTATTCCTTTGATCCCAGGCTTGAGCAATACTTCCTGACACTGGCTTACACTAGTTTGGGGAAACTGGGATACAGTATATGTAATGGTGATCTGGGGCACTGTTGGTGGCATACACTTGTCTATTGAAACTGTTCTGCTGTGGCTGCAATCAGAAACACAGGCATGTGTGATGGTCATCAGTAACACTGCTGCTGGTAAACCCTGGTCTAGTAACAGTTGGAACAGGTGTGTCAGCGATCAGTGACACCGTTGCTGGCTTACAATGATCTGATGAAACTGGGACATGTGTGATGATGAGCAGGAACACTTCTGCTGGCATACATTGGTCTAGTGAGATAGGGACAGGTGTGGCGGTGAGGTGTGGTGGTTATCAAAGACACTGTGACTGGCTGCACTATTAAGGCTTGTTCACATATGAGGTTAGTAAAACAACCCCTAATCTCTGCATTGAGGGAATTTATAGGCTGGACAGAAACTGGTTAACTAGAATTGTAAAGATTAACTCAGTAACACTAGTGTGACAGAATGCCTGTCACCCAGATTGGGTGATTCCAAATTTCCAAATTTCATTGCAACAACTCAAAATGGTACTCAGTAGTTTGTATGGCTCGCATGTGCTTGTGTGCATGCCTGACAACGTTGGGGCATGCTCCTGAGATGACGGATAGTATCCTGGGGTATTTCCTCCCAGATCTTGGCCAGGGCATCACTGAGCTCCTGGACAGTCTGAGGTGCAACCTGGTGGCGGCGGATGGACTGAAACATGATATCCCAGAGGTGATTTATTGGATTGAGTTCAGGCGAGTGTGGGGGACATTCAATGGTATCAATTCCTTCATCCTCTAGGACAGTGGTGGGCAACCTTTTTTTTCAACTGAGCCAAATCTCGCCAAAACCATGATTGAAATTTATTTTGAGAGCCACATTTTTAAAACTGAAAATACATCTCCCATATAGTAATTCATCCCCCATAGTAATTCATCCCCCATATAGTAATTCATCCCCCATAGTGTAATTCATCCCCCATAGTGTAATTCATCCCCCATAGTGTAATTCATCCCCCATAGTAATTCATCCCCCATAGTAATTCATCCCCCATATAGTAATTCATCCCCCATATAGTAATTCATCCTCCATATAGTAATTCATCCCCCATAGTAATTCATCCCCCATATAGTAATTCATCCCCCATAGCAATTCATCCCCCGTATAGTATTTCATCCCTCGTATAGTATTTCATCCCCCGTATAGTATTTCATCCCCCATATAGTATTTCATCCCCCATATAGTATTTCATCCCTCATATAGTATTTCATCCCCCATATAGTAATTCATCCCTCATATAGTATTTCATCCCTCATATAGTATTTCATCCCCCCATATAGTATTTCATCCCTCATATAGTATTTCATCCCCCCATATAGTATTTCATCCCTCATATAGTATTTCATCCCTCATATAGTAATTCATCCCTCATATAGTATTTCATCCCCCCATATAGTAATTCATCCCTCATATAGTATTTCATCCCCCCATATAGTATTTCATCCCCCCATATAGTATTTCATCCCTCATATAGTAATTCATCCCTCATATAGTATTTCATCCCCCCATATAGTATTTCATCCCCCCCATATAGTATTTCATCCCTCATATAGTAATTCATCCCTCATATAGTATTTCATCCCTCATATAGTATTTCATCCCTCATTATAGTATTTCATCCCCCATATAGTATTTCATCCCCCCATATAGTATTTCATCCCCCCATATAGTATTTCATCCCCTCATATAGTATTTCATCCCTCATATAGTATTTCATCCCCCCATATAGTATTTCATCCCTCATACAGTAATTCATCCCTCATATAGTAATTCATCCCCCATATAGTATTTCATCCCCCCATATAGTATTTCATCCCTCATATAGTAATTCATCCCCCCATATAGTATTTCATCCCCCCATATAGTATTTCATCCCTCATAAAGTAATTCATCCCTCATATAGTAATTCATCCCTGATATAGTAATTCATCCCTCATATAGTATTTCATCCCTCATATAGTATTTCATCCCCCCATATAGTATTTCATCCCCCCATATAGTATTTCATCCCTCATAAAGTAATTCATCCCTCATATAGTATTTCATCCCCCACAGTACTATTCCCCCCCCCCTTCTAGTAAGCCAAGTCCCCCGTGTCAATTCACTTACCTTTTGCGTTCCTCTCGCTGTCTTCCCGCGCCGTTCGGGTCTTCAGGGCGGACTGTGAGAGGAGCCTAGCTCCCCTCCCCTCACGTTCGGCACGCTGCCCCGCCTACACACATCCTGACAGCCACATCCGCAGGCCGGATTAAAAGGTCCGCGCGGACTTTTGGGGCTGCCAACCGAGAGGAGGCAGGGGAGCGGCCGACCGAGAGGAGGGAGGGGAGCAGGCGCCCGGCACACAGAAGAGCCGCATTAGACTGGGTAAAGAGCCGCATGTGGCTCGCGAGCCGCGGCTTGCCGACCACTGCTCTAGGAACTGTCTGCA